TACACAATGGAATACTATACAGCTGTCAGGAGAAATGAAGTCATGAACTTTGCTTATAAATGGATAGACAAGGAGAGTATCATGCTAAGTGAAATGAGTCAGAAAGAGAGGGACAGACATACAAGGACTGCACTCATTTGTAAAGTATAATACAACATAACATGAGGCTGACACCTAAGGACAGTAGATACACGGGACAGATAGATTGCTCCATAGCTGGAAGCCTGCCTCATGAGCAAAGGGGAGAAGGCAGCTGGAATAGAGAAGGGATCACTAAGAAAAAGATGACTGGAGGAATCGGTCAGGATGAAAGATGTGTGCAGAAAGTGGATAAAGGACCAAACATGATAACCTCTCCGTGTCTGTATTGCAAACCATAATGCCCAAAACTAGAGAGAGATTATGGGGAATCATGTCTGCCATGGAGGCAGGGGGGAGGGTGGGAAAGGGGGGGGACACTGGGGATACTGGTGGTGGGGAATATACATTGGTGGAGGGATGGGTGTTTGATCATTGTGTGATTGTGACCCAAACATGAAAGCTTGTAACTATCTCACAGTGATTCAATAAATTTTTTAAAAAAGTTTCTCTAAAGAACAAGAGAAACTTATCATGTGGCACTGAGTGTGGCATTCACGAATGGTGCGTATGATTGTCCTCTACTAAATTAAGAAAGGTAAAAATATATAGAACTGAATAATCACAAATTGACTTTTATTGCTTTTATTGATTTATTTCTTATAGTTCTATTGGCCATTCCTTTATGTTTTACTGGAACAAGTTATATGAAGTAAATTTGTTATATGCCTGTCAAGGAGGCAGACGGGGGTGTTGGAGGGAACCTGTATTGGTAGAGGGAAAGGGACATTGGTGGTGGGATTTTGGGAAAACTATATGCCTAGAACAATCGATTATGAATAGCTTTAGAAATGCCCATAAATACTGCTGAAAAAATCAATAAGCGGACCCAAGAGAGAACTCAAAGGGATGGCATTCATACCAGGCATGATGAGACTCTGAGTTTGCCCTCAGCAAGTACTAATCTTTGTGTTGACGGAGGGTCTTGCCTGGGTGATGATTGCTGCTTCCGGGTGGGAGTTACTGAGGATGTGAGTGACTGTGAATTTCCCAAAACAAAGAATGCAGTGATATCTGCCCCATCAGTGGGTTCTTATAGATGAATTCTCTGTCAATTGTGAAATGTACTTATGCACATTAGAATGTCTCTCAAAATTGGGATCAAGAGTCTCAAATCCTTGCCACCACGTTGCAAACTAAATGTATGTACTATTTTTCCCCAGGAGTAGGCTCTGTCTCAGAACCCACCATCAGGCTCACCCACCAAAAACCACATCTCTTCCATGAAAGCTTGACTGAGGCGTTGCAGCAAGTCGGTCACACCTTCAGGTTCCACTCGAGTTCTGGCTCTCATGACTTTTGTATCATCATATCTACAGTAACTCCCCCCAACTATGTCTCCAATCCCTCCAGGGGATTGGAGTCAATTTCCAGACTCTCAATAATTGTGGTTAACTTCTTCCCATGAGTAACAAATGGTACCCAGAAGGGTGGATCTCTTCAGGAAGATTTTCACGGCATCAGTATCCATGGCAGCTAGAAACTGTGGCTACCCCGGCAGTGCTCAGGGGACCATAGATAGTACTAGAGCTGAACCAGGAAGGATACATTAGAGGCAAGTGCCTTATCCCCTGTACTACTAATGTAGTTCCAATTTTAGCATCTTTAAAGACTTCTTAATCTATGTGCTACAGAAGTGACATGTTTTAGCAGATAAGCAAAGCAATATTGATCTTCTTATCAATTAGGTGTCCGTGTAAAGAACCCTCCACTTTTTTCTCCCTTTCCAGTTCCAGCCTTGGCTGTGTAGTTATTGCTACCCCCTTTTTTTTGATGTGTCTCATAAGGTGCCTGTTTGCTTGAAAGGAAGTCTGAAAGGCCTCAGTTACTTGAAAACACTTTAACAGATGCACAGGCTCATTTACTGCTCACTGGTGCTCACAGCCAGCCTCTCTTCCTTTATCCTGTGGCTTCACATTAGAGAAAGAAGGAATTCCCATCAGCCTTTGGAGTCATGCCAGCTTCCAAGGAGGCTGTGATCTGAGCAGCGCTGTTAGTCACTCCCAGCTGCCAGCTGGTGAGGAGAACAGGAAGTAGCCGCATGGCTCCTGCCAACAACTCCGGTGAATCTTCCTTCGGCCCCGCTCTCCCAGCTGACGTCAGTGAACAAGCACTAGCCTGCAACTCGGCCAGCTCACACCCGGCCCTGGTCCTCAGCTGACTGTCAAGTTTAGCTCGCCAAGTTCCAAAGGTCACCCTTGTCTAAGAAGAGTGAGAAGAGGTCATGCCTTTTTTCGGAAAGAGGTCATTACTGGCTTCTGTGTACAGCTATTTTTTCCCCTATAGCAACTTACTATGAGAATTGGGAAGGGCTCGAATCCCAGTGTTATGGAATCTTTGCCTTGCCTGGTTGGGATTCCGTTTCATTTTTGGTCATGTTTGAGTTCCAAAATCAAGGTCAAAAGGCTGTCAGAATTGTTTCCCAAGGATTCACTGTCAGAAGATTTGGACATTAGCTATAAAAATGCAGGCAGAATGATAGTTCCGGGGGTTAGTCAACATCCTTGGTACCTATTTGTTTGTTTGATTGGGGCCATACCTGGTTTGATGCTCAGAGTGTACTCCTGGCTATGTGCTCAGGGGTGACTCGTGGTGGAAACAATATGTGGTGCCAGAATCAAACTGGGGTTGATTGTGTGCAAGGCAAGTGTCTTTAGTGCTGTGCTATCTCTCTGTCATGGTTTTTTTTTTAAAGACATGTTAGAGGACCAAAACCCAGGGAATAACATACGTGAGTTAAATGCTCTATCTTTGAACAATCTCCCCATCATTTTAATTCTTTTATAAAAGAATCTCTACATACTGACAGCTCCTGGGAAATATATATAATATGTGCAGGCCTGAAATATGAAGCCTATGATTCAAGTAAGTCATCAAGATGTGAACTACCCCATTATAAGTTAGGGGTGAGGACACATGTGTTCAGGGTTGGTCATGACTTTCATGCACACACCCCAATGTTCACAGATAACCTCTGAAACCCAGAAAGGGTGAGGTGGAAGTTCAGTTAAGCCAACATATATGACATACATAAGTCATGTATATTTCACTTATCAAACAAACTTATGGATGCCAAGTTAGAATTTAACTTTGTTTGCCCATTTCAAAAACTGCCGTTTTCCAAAGTGCCTAATCAAGACTTATGAAGTTGTAACCTATTTGCTAATTCTAGAAGACAGAGTGATGGAATTCCTCCAAATGTGAGGAATTTCAAACTGGCAAGGACAATATCCTAAGCAGTCCTGAATATGGATGGTTGAATCAACCAATTGACAGAGTCCATTCTCTCTAAGTGTCTGGAAACCCTAGCTACCACTGTGTTACTACTTATAGGAAAGGTAAAGGTAAAGGCCCTCCCGTTGATTGTCGATTTGCTCGAGCGGGCCCAGTAACGTCTCCATTGGAGACTTTGTTGTTACTGTGTCTGGCATATCGAATACTCTCGGTAGCTTGTCGGGCTCTCCGAGAGGGGCGGAGGAATCGAACTCAGGTCGGCCATGTTGGCCGCTTGTAAGGCGAACGCCCTACCCGCTGTGCTATAGGAGGAAAACACTAAATCTTGCTTTCTGCTTGTCTCTCAAAATGTCAGAGGTGTTTCCCTGCAAAATCTTTACACTTGAACCCATTAGGAATGGATGATGTATCCAAACTGCCGCTCACATTCACTGACATACCTGGTCTTCAGGTCTCTGGTGTGAGACCCATTTGGTCTGCTCAAAGTTTAATTTTCAAGTTAGGCAGAGCAAGGGAGTTCTGGAGAAGTTTTACAACAATATAGTAATCATAATTCATTTTATTTGGTCTTGTTTCAGTTCTTTACAGCACTTGGCAAGTTGCAAATTTATAGTTGATGCTCAAAATAGTTTTACAAGATAACTCTTGTTAACCACATTTTTTTTTCCAGATGAGAGGCCATCAGAGAGAGTACACCACTTAGATCTGGGTCTGCCTTATTCTAAAGTTTGATGCTCTTTCTTTTATCAACTATATTTTGATATAATTACAGATTCACATGAAGTTGCAAAGAACTATAGTGGGAATTCTTGTGTACTCTTCCCCTAACCATTTCCAATGTTAATATCTTATGAGAGTTCAACTAGTGAATAATTTACCTTTTATTCCAAGAATATTATATGGTGGCAATAAGAGCTTTCAGGGCTTAAGAGTTACATATTATATATATGTGTATGTGTGTGTAATGTATATAGCACTGTATCACTGTCCTCCCGTTATTCATTGATTTGCTCGAGCAGGCACCAGTAACGTCTCCATTGTAAGACTTGTTACTGTTTTTTGGCATAACGAATATGTCACAGGTAGCTTTCTAGGCTCTGCCGTGTGAGCAGGATACTCTCGGTAGCTTGCTGGGCTCTACAAGAGAGACAGAGGAATCGAACCCGGGTCATCTGCATGTAAGGCAAACACCCTACCCACTGTGCTATCGCTCCAGCCTGTGTGTGTATATATACATATATATATATATATAAAGTACAAATATGTATTCTTTGTAAGTGTGTCTGTAGCTCTTTGCAATTCCTATGCTGTTTTTCTATATGAGCCACACACTATCCTATCACTTTTTAATATGAAGTTAGGTACTTTTTAATATGCTTAAAGTGATTTTTCCCTCAATAAAACAATATCTAGCAACAATTATGAGATGTATAGGACAGGTTTGTCATTTCTAACTGAAATCCTATAACCCTCAGCTCCTGATAGTCCTCTTTTTTGCATGCCTTTAAGGGCACACTCTTGAAGGAGATGACTGGAATAAAGTAGGGAAACATAATTTATTGATATATTGTTAGTAAAGGCAACAGTCTCATGCCATAAATTTCTGGCAATAAGAACAAGGCTCTTACCTTGACTTCAACTTTAGTCACATCACCTTCCTTTCCGAGAGAGTCCAAACCTGGCTCCAAATAAGATCCCTCAGATGTCTTCTGAAGAGAAGCTAGAGGGACAAGGAAAATCTGTCATTAATTCAGCTCTTCGGCTTATCAGTAATTCAACGACCTTAGCCTGACTGGGGCAAACTGTTGAACCACGTTGGTGGTGCTTATTAGCAAAGCTCAATGGAGCGGTGGCATGTCTTCCAAGGAGGTGGACGAAACTGGAGGTGGAAGAGAGATGCAGAAAACAAGTTTATATTTGGCCAGCTGACATTTGATGCAAAGAGTCAAAAGTCACACGAAGGACCCAGCATCACACGAAGGACCAAAATTCCTCAAATAAGTAATGTAATGTGGTAAAAATAGCAGTTTCCACTATTTCCTTTTATTTCTTTTCATTGGGATCACACTTAGTGATGATCGGGGCTTACTCCTGGCTCTGTGCTCAGGGATCACTCCTGGAAGACTCAGGGGACCATAAGGGGTGCTAGGGGTTGAACCCTGGTTGGACCTGTGCAAAGCAAGTGCTCTACTCACTGTATTATCTCTCCAGCCCCACACCAATCCTATTTTAAAGACCCAGATACAATGTCACTTTATCCAGAAGGTCTTTCTTGAATAGTCAAAGCTATGGACAGTTTCACTCACTGGTGCTTTAGCACTTATCATTTGTACTATGAAATATCGCACTGGATGCCGTTTTGAGATTAAAGGGTCAGATTCATGTCCAGGTACCATAATATATTGAGATTTTAAAAATAAAGGTAATTTGTGCTTGCTCAATGTTGAAAAGACACTAAAATTACTCAAACACAACTACCTGACATATTTTCTTACTATTCTTTGGAATGGCCCCACTCATATTCTTTCTCTCCCTCTCTCTCCCTCTATCTCTGTCTCTCTCTCTCGCTCTCACTCTCGCTCTCACTCTCACTCTCTCTCTCTCTGTGTGCCAGTGAGCTCTTACTACTCTCAGTTCCTCTATCTCCCACTTCCTCTCCCCCACAGGATCCTGAACACCTGGGGTAGATCCTTTTTGTAGCCTCCACGGCATTTAGTAGTAAGACTGGGACTTGGTGAGAAGCTTTGCTAAAGCCTTGGGTTTTTTAGCTCGGTTTTACCGGAGATGATGGTACAACATAAATAAGTCAGTGTTATTTCCAATTCTTATTTGTCACCATCATCACCTGCACATAGACAGTTAGGAAACTCACATGTGTGATAATGAAGCCAAGACAGAATTTGAGCATTTCTAGGTCCAATAGATCTGTACTAGATCTGATGGAGGTTGACAGGCTTTCTTTGCTACTGTTATTTTCATAACTAAGTTATGCTAAGGAATGGGAAGAAGGCTCAAAGGGCTGGAGTACATGCCTAGTATGTGTGAGTCCTCAAACTTGACCTCTAGTACTAGATGGCTCCTATATTATAAGCTCAGTCAACTGAAACCAGGAATGTTTCTGAGCACCATGAGATATGGCCCTGAGAGTCCCCAGTGGCCCTTGACACCACAGCAACACTGAACCCTCCAGCTCAGACAGCTCAGACAGCTGGGATGAATGTCACTGTGAATGACACTGGCCCTGAGAACTGCTTTAGAGGTCCCATCTTCCAAACATAACAACTGTTTTGCTCCAATCTATAGTGAAGCACAGTTTTCCCAAGTGATATGAGCCCTGAAGCTATTATCTAATAAGAAACTATAGTTTGAGGTCTTCAATTTCTGTAGGATCCCTATGAGTGATGTGACCCTGGGCTTACTAACTGGACACCAGAAAAACCTGAATTGTAATGGATGACCTTCTTGACTAAGAAGCACCTGTCCTTTAAGACAGTCACAAAATTAAATCAGGAAAGTGGGTCCATAGTGCTCGTGCTCATGTCTTGCTCATCCATGAATGAGATACCCATTTTCAGAGAAACCTGTGCCTGACAGCCTTTATCAGTGAAATGATAAGAAAGTCTATTTTCATGAGATTTCAATAAGTCACAAAGGTCATGGCAAGTCCTTGGCACCTTTAGGCTATCAGAGTAAAAAAGAATTTTGTCAGATTCTTTATGAACTTCTTTATGAAGTTAAATTTGTACCCCAAGCTCCCAACAAGAGTCAGGGCTGAGAGTCTTAACTCCCATCTCTAAGCTCTTTGTCCATGGTCCTTTCACTGTGAAAATACGATAGTTTATTTTGGCAAAGATTCAATCACTAAGGAATCAGACAAATGTGTTAGAAACTCGTGTATGCAAACCTGCTCTCAGCGGTCACTCTCCAAATAAAGGGCATAATTGTTTTGTAAAATGACAGAGTTGTGTGACCAAGATCAGGGAAACTTGTTCAGGCCTGATTGAGATTAGTTACCCTAGGAGAGTCGGTTTTTAGCTTGAATAGCTTGTCATTAAAAAGCCAACAAACAACAGATCGCTCATGCTTTATTTACTTGTAATGAAGACCTGTTCCTTTATGTGTGTGCCACTGATGGTTCACACTTGGAAGTCACACATCAGATGGAGGGTCCTTCCAATGGTTCACACTTGGATGCAAACATGAGACAGGCTGTACCAACAGAAATGGTTATTTTTGCCAAAATTTCTTAATACACTTTAGTTTGGGGCCATCCGACAAGGCAGAACACTGCTAATGAAGCTGCCAGATGGTGAGAAACAATTTACAGTGCCAGCCTTAATGTGTTAAAATAAGGAGAATGTCAGAGTAACAAAAGTGAACCTCGTTTAATTTGGGAAAGAGCTTTTCATGAGAAGTCAGGAGAACCATGTCCTGAAACAGTCATTTAACAACTGTCCTTATATCTGAGTGTCTGTGTGTGTCAGTGCTATGTATTCATTAGTGTGTCTGAGTATAGATGTGTACATACATGTTTGTGTTGAACATGTGTATCTGTGTGAATGTGTGACAGAGACAGAAAGGTCTAGATAGAAGGAAGAAAATGGAAACATTCAAGAAGGAAATTTACTAACTGTTACCAAGACTTATTTCTAAAAGAAGGAATATATGATGGCAGACAGGGCACTCCAAATTGTAGTGGAAAATTTCCAAAGGAGCCCATAATTTTTTGACAGAAATTGAATTTGGTAACAGATCTGCATAACAGAAAGTTCTTTAATCAAATAGGCTAAAGAGATAGCCCAGTGGTAGGGTACTTGCACAAGGCCAACCCTGGTTTAATCCCTGGCATCCCATGTGGTTCCTTGAGTCACCCCGCCCCCCCATCTCCCACCCTGGAGCAACCTATGAGTGTAAAGCTTGGAGTAAATTCTGAGCACAGTCAGATATGTTCGCCCAAATAAACAAAATAAAACTAAAAGTCCTCTAATATGAAGAGAAATGATACAAGATGGTAACTAAGATCTACAGTAAAGAATAAACACTAAAAAGCGTTTTAAAAACTGAGTAAATATTTTTCTTCCTTTCTCTTAAATTATTTAAAAGATACATAATTATTAAAAGTAAAAATTATAGCCCAGAGCGACAGCACAGTAGGTAAGACTCTCCCTTCTTATATAGTTGCTGCTGCTGACTCTGGTTCAATCCCCATCACCACCCAGAGCACTGTGAGAGGTCACTCCTGACCACAGCCAGAAGTAGCCTGTGAGGATGCACTCCTTCCCCAATAAAATATAAATAACTTAAAAATTACAGTATAATATTGGAGTGCTAATATAGGTAGATATAGTATTTATAATAACAAAGCACAAAGACAAGTGGGAGGCATAGAACTATACCAATAAAAGTTTCCTATACTTTTAATAAAGTGTTAAAATGTTGATTGTGTTAAATTAAGGATGCTATGATAACCCTTAAGGGAAATTATCTAAAAAATATTGGCTACAAACCAATAGAAGAATTAAAACAGAATACTAAAATAATTACTAACCAAATGAAGGTAGGAAAGGAAGAATAGATAAATAAAAAACAATCTCTCAGGATTGATTCACGAGGAAATAGAAAACCTGAACAGACTGATCACAAGTAAGGAAAATGAAATGATTATTTAAAATCTCCTCAAGAACAAAAGCCCAGGTCTGAATCTCATATTGCAATAATGTTTATAAAGTGGAAGATTCAATATTGGTAAGGTAACAGTTCTCCCCTCAAATAATTTTTAAGTTCAGTGCAATCTCAATCATAATCCCAGCATAGTTGAAAGGAAATTTAAAAAGTGTATATGACAGTGAAAAGGACCTAAACTAGCCCAAACAAACTTGACAAAGAAAAAGATTTTAAGACTTGAATTACCTGATCCCATATGAATAAGCCATTGTAATTAAGACCGTATAGGGTTTTTGTGTGGACTAAACTGTTTTTAAATTTGTTTTCTGGACCACACCTAGTGGTGCTGGGAGACCATATACAATGCTTGGGATCAAATCCAAAGTTAGCTACATACATGGCAAGCACTTTAAACCATGTAAAAAAATTTTTTTAATTGTTCTGGAGTAGTATTGTGAACCAAACCTAGGACTTTAAACATATGATGTTTGCACTCTGTCACTGAGAAGTCTCCAGAACCATCTATTATTTTTTTTATCTTTAAAAAAATACCAATCAGGGCTGGGGTTGGAGTGATGGTACAATGGGTAGGGAATTTTTCTTGCACATGACTGACCTGGGTTCGATCCCCAGCATCCCGATATGGACCCCTGAGTCTGCAAGGAGTGATTCCTGAGTACAGAGGCACGAGTAATTCCCAAGCAGCTCCAAGTATGGCCCCCAAATAAACAAGATTTATGGAGATAATATGAGGAGTAAGGAGCTTGCTATGTGTGTGGTCAACCTTGGATGGGTCCCCAGCACAGTATATGTTCCTCTAAGCCCCACTATTTAGGCACTTAATAAGTCAAGAGTAATCCCTGAGTATTGCTGGATGTGGTCCAACAACTCACTCCCCAAAAGGTAAAAAAATGAAACTTTTTCACTCTACCACAACAGAATTTTGTGGGCTTTTAAAGAATATTTAAGGCCCCCCCAGTGCCATCTTACAGCACACAGCAACAAAGAAGAAAACTGGCTGGAGGGCCCCACAGCTCCCAGAGAATGCTTGGGGCCCCAAACAGAGCCGATATCACCAGGAGGTCCCAGAAGGGGTAGGTGCTGCCATCCTGCCTTCTCCAACTGGAATCCCGGTGACCATGAGCTTCTACAAACATGGCTCTGGCATACGGGTACCAGGACATTTTTTCTGAACCACGCGGCCACTTATGCGGCTGCACGACATTTCCTTATATGCAAAGTGATCAAAAGAAAGTAAATCATCCAACATTTCTCCCTGAAAATCAGGCTTGACTGGTGGTGGGAAAATCCGAGCAAAAGATAATGCCCAACCAAAATGCATCTGGACTGTGTATTTAACTATGTTGCTATGCCACCCTGGGAGGGGAAGGGGGTCTGTCCCTCCGCCTGTTCCCCTCTGTGGTGGCGACATGGTGTCCTGCATTTTTTAGAGCCTAATGAACAGCCAGGTATGTGACTGCATTGACGAGGCACGTGGGGCTTCATGGGATGGGGGGTGGAATTCTCCCTGCTCCTCGCCATGACAATGCTCAGGGTTGCCACCCTCAAATACCTCCTCTGGCTTCTGACCGACCATGAACCCAGAGGCACACTTACTAATCTCGGAACCCAGGGACTTCTGGCAGTAATCCCTCTAGGTTTTTTACTAAAATATTAGAATTCCAAATTCGCATGGCTGCTATTGTGGCCACACAACATCATATGCTCTTCATAATCAACATTAGAAAACAAATTTTCTAATGATGCCTTTGTGGCAGGTCTGAATGTTGGGGAAAATTCCAAATAACAGTGGTGGGTCTTTTGTCGTAATATTGAATGTGATCAAAGGAGAGAGAGAGAGAGAGAGAGAGAGAGAGAGAGAGAGAGAGAGAGAGAGAGAGAGAGTGTAAAGTGGAAATCTGCCACACAGGTGGGAGGGGGGTGGGAGGGGGGTATATAGGGGTTCTTGGTGGTAGAAAATGTGCACTGGTGAAGGGACAGGTGTTTGATCATTGTATGACTGACCGATACTTGAACTGAAAGGCTTTGTCACTGTTCTCACAGTGATTCAGCAAATAAATAAAAAATTAAAAAATTAAAAATACTCAATAAAGTCTATCTTGTGCTAGAGTTATTTGTGTAGTTGCATTATTCTTCTACTAAGTAGATTATTAGACTTGAATCCAGGCTAAAGTTATTTGTGCAGTTGCATTATTCTTCTACTAAGTAGACTGTTAGACTTGAATCTAGGCTTTCAATTGTATCTGTACTGTAGCACTGTAGCACTGTCCTCCCATTGTTCATCAATTTGCTCGAGCGGACACCAGTAATGTCTCACAACAAATTGTGAGACTTGGTTGTTACTGTTTTGGGCATATTGAATATGTCATGGGGAGCTTGCCAGGTTTTGCCTCGAGGGCGAGATACTCTTGGTAGCTTGCCGGGCTCTCCAAGAGGGGCAGAGGAATCAAACCTGGGTCAGCTGCATGCAAGGCAAATGCTTTACCCGCTGTGCTATCACTCCAGCCCTCAATTGTATCTAACCATAGAAATCTCTAATGTCTGTATTATTCCATTCCTACAGCAGCTGCAAATACCATGTCAAGATCCTGTGAATGACAACCACAATCTCATGGGTTTGACTGATGAAACAGAAAGCCACAAACCTTCTTTTACTAATAACCTACCCAATGTGGAGGGCTGGATGGTTTTTGGCGATACCCATTTGGGGGAGGATTCAGGATGGGGGGCAACGGGCTGCACTGGGCGAGTCTGTCTGGCTGCAAGTTTCATCAGACTCATTTGCCGCTTGTGAAATATTTCCTGCACATCTGTCAGCTTCTGCAGGACTTTCTGGGCTTTGACCTGCAAGAACAAAGAAGCAAATCACATGTGTGAGGCTGTTCGACCTTTGTCCTTCTTCTTCTAACTTGTTTTTCTCACCATGACCACCTCTTGCACCACACACAGAGCAGCAAAAGGCGAGATTTCACCTTTCTTCGAGATGCATCATACGCCATTGATTGATTACAAACCCCTGGACTTTGACTACAAATCTGAGGTTACCACGCTGGAGAAGAGGGGGTGTAGGAGCTGGAAGAAAGACAGACTAGAAGTGACTGAAGGATAGTGGTGGAGGGTCTTTGCCACTTGGGTGGTGTTGAAGGTGCAGTAGTAACTATGTCAAAAGCATAAGTACTAGCACGACTGTGATCACACGAAGAAAAGAAAGCAAATAATGGGCAGATCACAGCACTGAGTTGGAAGATATGATGCTTTTGCTCTCCCTTCTTCTCCTCAGGGTGCTCATATGCAACTCATCCCCCAGAACTGTGCTTCTGTGTCCCTCAAGAGACCTTTGGGGGCTTCTGTTCTCTCTGGGCTTGTAGTTTCAGCTCTGGGAATGCTTCCAGGACTTCTTGGTAACTATATTTTGAGTGGACATGTGTTCACTGGGACATATTTCCTAATAGTAGGAAAGAATGGCCACTGGCCACTATTAGGTTAATTCCCCAAACAGAAGAATTTCAAAATGAGCAAAGTACCCCCAGATAAAGGCACTACTGTAGCAAAGAGTGTAAGTGATCTGGATAAGGTGAATTCCGAGGGTAGGTCTAGAGAACTTTGGGACAGCTACAATAAGGATACACATTTACATATATTCTGTGTGAATCCTTTTTATCTATAAGACTTAACCAAGTAAACTGAGAAGGAGCAGGGGAAAGACGAAACTCCAGATGTTCCTGTATCTGACTCTACGTTCTATGGCAATCAGGAAAACATGAAAGAGCAGAAAATCTTGAGTCTCACCAAGGCTTGGATTCAGCTGAATATTGCTTCTGCCAGCCCTTGCTTCTAGCAACTACTTTCTAGTTCTGGTGGTCGAGGGAAGTGGAGTGGCCTTCTCTTTCCTTTCTTTTTGGGTCACACCCGGTGATGCACAGGGGTTACTCCTGGCTTTGTACTCAGGAATTACTCCTGCCAGTGCTCAGGGGACCATATAGGATGCTGGGAATCAAACCCTGGTCGGCCACGTGCAAGGCAAACACCCTACCAACTGTACTATTGCTCCAGCTCCTGGAGTAGCCTCTTCTTTGTCATGCTGATACAACTGGATAGTTATAACCATCAAAGAAGGAAGCTGACCTTCTAGAAGAACTGAGTCATTGTACATTATGTAGGATGATTTGAGGATACCTAAGTCCCAAACTACCATATTTCACAGCACAATGCCACAATGTGCTTTAAAGTAACATCACCACAACTTTTTATTTGGGGTGGATGGGGAGAGGGTCACACCCAATGGTGCTCAGGAGTTACTCTTAGCTCTTGTGCTCAGAGAACATTCCTGGTGAGGCTTGGGGGACCATATGGGATACCAGGGATCGAACCTAGGTCAGCTGTGTGCAAGGTAAGTGCCCTACCCACTCTATTATCATCCAGCAAAACTTTTTTAAAAACAGTTTTAGAGCTGGAGATAAAATTTACTGATAAAGTACTTGCTTAGCAGGTATGATGCCCTGGGTTCAATCCCCAGCATTTAAATGTACATACCAAGTCTTGTATAACCGGGGCCGCAGAGATGGCTCATGAGCTGGAGCACGTGTTTTGAATGAGGGAGGCTTGAGTTCAGTCTCTGATCTTGAAAGCAGTGAGTCAGCAGTGGCCCCTGGGCACTGCTAAGTATGGGCTCTCAAAAAAACCCTTTGCACGATGGGAACATTCTGCTTTGGGGAATGTTCTAGCCCCTGTGATACAAGACTTGGTGTGTACATCTAAATGAAAGAAGAGCGCAAAAGCTCTCGAGTTCTAGTACCTATTATATGTTAAAATACTAGTTTAGACAGGCTCACTGAAACATGATTGAAATGGATTTCACTTGTTTTTGAATTTTTACATTCAGCTACTTAAGCAGCTAAAATTGCACCCGTGGCTTATGCAATATTTCAGAGGACAGGGCTGGCCAAGACAAAGCTTGGCAAACTTTTTTGACAACTGACAAATACCAAATATTCCTAGATTTGGAGGCCATCTGTTCTTTTTCAAAATTACTGAGCTCTACTATTATATCATCAAAGCAGTCACAGACAATGGGTAATCCATAATGAAAGTGTGACTTTACAAAAACTGGTGAAAATGCTGGAGAGATAGTACAGAGAGTAAAGCACTTGCCTTGCAAGTGGTTGGACTGGGTTTGATTCCCGGCAACCCCTACTGTCCACCAAGCCCTTCCTGAGTGATCCCTGACCACAGAACCAGGAGTTTACCTTGAGTACCACCTGATGTGCTCCCAACCCCCCCCCCCACACACACATACATAAAACTGGGGGCCAGAGAGTTAGTACAGCAGGCAGAGCACCTACCTTGTACGTGGCCAACCTGGGTGCGATCCTAAACACTCCGTATGAGCACTGCCAAGAATAATCCCTGAGCAGCACGTGGTGTGCCCCATCTCCCCAAAACAACAACGAAAATCAATTACAAGTAGCTATGGCCCAGGACTTGTAGTTTGTTAACCCCTGGTCTCAACTAAGCTCAAAGATTGTCTTTAAAAATTCGCTTCAGAGAATGTGCTTCCGGCCTGAGAGACTGAGGTATACTGTGCGCTAGATACAGCTGAGAACACAGCGGAGGCCAAGTCCCCAAAGAAGCCACATTCCCTTCCTGCTAGTGGTCAGGACAGCTCGGTTTGTATTTGGGGGAGGGGAGAGTTGGTGATGAGATTTGGTAGTCATGCCTGCTTGCTCTGTTGCTCCCGTGATGGGCTTGAGGGAAGAGAGATATGGGGAATACAGGCTGCCCGAGACCAAAAGCCGGCTGCACACGGCCCAGCTGACCTACGGATCTGGGTCCCGGTGAGAAAACATAGTGCATGCGAGAATTGGGCCTCCCTCCTCCACCACAGAGCTCCATCACCTTCCTAGATCTTCCCGTGAAACTGGAAACAGAGAGGTACTCAGAAAAGACCCCAACATCCTAAGCTCCGATGAGGGAAGAGTTTGTAAAAGATAAACAATAGCCATCCCTACTCTACGCTTTTTGCAAATCCAGTCTTCATACCACACTCAGAACATCTTCCTCAAACACCGCCCCATCATCTAACTTCCCTGTTCTGGCAGGGGTGCCCCACTGTATCGGGGCAAAGTGCAGCCCTTGTACTGAAGTTGGGCTTGTCTCCTACTTCTGTTTGTTATTTGGTTTGGGGCCCGCACCCAGCAATGCTCAGAGCTACTCCTGAATGTTGTCCACGTGGTGCCCGGATGGAGCCCAGGCCTCCCGCAGGCGAAGCACACTCAGCCTGTAGAACTCTTTACCCAGGCTTTTCAGACCTGACCTGACTCTGGTGGTCTTCCATTCTGCCAGTACCCACGCCTCACACTCCAGCCTGAGAGCTCTCTGTAGACCCTCCCCTCTGCCTCTGCCCTGTCGCTGTTCCGGCACCATTTCCTACCTCCATATGTCTCCCACAGATGCAGTGAAAGCATCTCTCTTCTCCCCATGAGTGTGTAAGTCTCCCTCGTGGGGGTCTCAATGTCCCTTGCTTTCTCTCCGTTGTTATCCCCAAAGAACATTTACCTGGCCGTGTTCTCTCAATGACAGGAACGGTGACTTACTTGCACTCTGCTAGCCCCCAAATAAAGCAGGACCAAGGGACCCAGTAACAAAATGAATTTGGCTATTGGCTGGGACACTGTCTCAGGCTCTGCACTGAGCGTGAACAATGGGGAAAAAATGAAAACAGCAGCACAAGAGGGAAGCTTGATCGCCATGTGTCAAAAGTAGCACGTAGGGGGCCTGAACCAGGACTGAGGGGCTGCCCTGAGGACAGCTGTAAGTTCGACATCTATTTCAGCTCGATGCCTGTCCTTAGCACTCAGCAAAATTACAGAATTTAGAAGCAAATGGTCAGAGGCAGTATTTGAGTCAGCTTTGGTAGAATCAGTTCACTGGGAAGTATAGACCAGGAGGAGGCTAGGAGGTCACCCGCGGGCCCCAGCACTGGTGACCTGCTTGGTACATCCTACCTGAACTGCCTTATGCCAAAGGAAAAGTCATGCCAAGTCAGTTTCCTGCCCCAGAGTCAGAATCACTCAGAAACATTACCTTTGTTTCAGGGTTGAGCATGAGCTCAAACTGGTTGTAGAAGTCCCTGGGGTTGGGAAGCTGGTAATCCTTGGTAGCACCCAGGAAGATCTCAATGTCATTCAAAGCAACGTCAACCCCCTCTCGAGACTGGCACTTGTCTACAGCTTGGGAAGCCAAGAGGTAGATTCCCGCTTCACACCACTGGCTGACCTTTGGAAAGAAAGAGAGTTGCCTTACTAAATTTTAAACTTGTAGATTTTACCTATTTCATGTAAATTCTAAAATATATTAACACATTTTTTTGGAGGGGGGGCGGAGAAGAGGCCTGTCACCTGGCAATGCTCAAGTGCTATTCCTATCTCTACACTCAGGAATTACTCCTAACAGTGCTCAAGGGACCATATGGGATGCCGGGGTTTGAACCCAGGTTGATGGTGTACAAGGCAAGCACCTTACCTGCTGTAAGATCTCTCAGCCCCAGCACAGATTTTTTTTTTAGTGTCATTCATAACAATACATGATAATTATCACAATAAGATCAAAGTACAAAATAAAATTTAGCACTGTAGCACTGTCCTCCCATTGTTCATCCATTTGCTTGAACGGGCACCAGTAACGTCTCTATTGTGAGACTTGTTGTTACTGTTTTTGGCATATCGAATATGCCACGGGGAGCTTGCCAGGCTCTCCGAGAGGGACGGAGGAATCGAACCTGGGTCGGCTGTGTGCAAGGCAAATGCCCTACCCACTGTGCTATTGCTCCAGTCCAAAATAAAATTTAGTGCAACATATTCTAGATGCCCAAATTGAAAATGTATTTGTGTAAATGACAATACCCATTTATTATATTGTATTAAATGATTTGAATTTATTTATATAGATTAAAATCATATAGTTATCGACCATCACAAATTGACTCTTATTGATTTGTTTTGTGATAATTCCATTTGCTGTCCCTTTAAATTTTGTTGGAGCAAAGAGTACGAAATAAATTTGTTAAAGGCCTGCCAAGGGGACAGACTGGGGGGTGGGAGGGAACCTAGGGACATTGGTGGAGGGGAGGGGACACTAGTGGTGGGATTGGTGTTGGAACACTCGATGCCCAAAACAATCTATTTGAATAAATTTGTAAATCACAATGTCTTATATAAAATTAATAATTGTTTTTTTTATGGAGTGAGCCAGACAACATTCCCACCAGCAGTTTCTTTTCACCACATCTCTGCCAACACAGATTGCTTCTATTATTTTTGATATTTGCCATTCTCACTGGTGTGAGATGGCATCTCATTGTTGTCCTGATTTGGATTTCTCTAATGATAAGTGATGCTGAGCATTTTCTCATGTGCCTACTGGCAGTCTGTCTTTCTCTGAGAAGTGCCTGTTCATTTCCTCTCCCCATTTTCTGAAATTTTTAAGTTGATTTTTACGAGTGCTTTCCAGATGGAAAGCAACCCTTTATCTGATGTGTTGTGCTAGGTGGGGAAGAAACAAGGGAACAGTGGTGGAGGGAAGTAGGTATGGGTGCTGGGATTAGTGCTGGAATTATTACATGCCTAAAACTGAACTATTAGTAATTTTGTAAATCACAGTTAATTAAATAAGAATGTTTTTTTAAGTGAGTTGCCCTGTGCTGTGAGTTCAACCACACTCCCTAAGAGCTCTGAGCTCAGACAGAGTTGATGAAAATTTCAGGGCAACTAAGGACTGTCACAGCACAGAACACTTCAGAGGCCTAACCATTGTACTACACTATGGGCAGATGGGCTCAAGCCTCTCATCCAGCCGCTCAGTTCTCAGGGAAATACCCAGTTAGCCAAAACTATTCTCACTGTCACTGTCCTCCCGTTGTTCATCGATTTGCTCGAGCAACGTCTCCATTGTGACATTTGTTACTGTACATCACGGGTAGCTTGCCAGGCTTTGTCGTGTGGGTGAGATACTCTTGGTAGCTTGCCGGGCTCTCTGAGAGGGGCGGAGGAATCAAACTCAGGTCGGCCAACCGGATGCATGCAAGGCAAACGCCCTACCAGCTGTGCTCTCGCTCCAGCCCTTTTGAAACCATAACTCATAACTCAGGGTAAACCTTTCCTGAAATTATGAGCATGTTTCTTCAGTCATTCATGTCTGGAAATGTGGTTCTAGCGATGGAGCATATACTGCCACGTGCAAAGTCCCAAGGTGGATCCCCAATCTCACGTGTCCCCTACAGCCCTTCCTAGCATCATCAGGGTGGGCTCGATGGTGTTCAAGCACAGTCAGGCTGAGCACCAAACCACCAGCCCACATCCCAGGGCCTCCCAAAAACATTCTCACCAGTGCTGGTGGGAGGAGGGGAGGAAGGATCCCTCATTCACTGATGGGGGGAATGGAAACTGGTTCAGTCTCTTGGGAAAATAGAATGGAGATTCTGAGAAATTTCAAAATAGGACTCCCAGGGCCAGGGGTGATGGCTGGCACACTGGAAACCTAGGTCCGATGCTAGTACCACATGTCCTCTCCTTCTCCTCCCCCCAGCCCCCTCCCCTGCCCACTGGGTGTGACTCTCACATTAAGAAAAATAGATCAAATAATCCAGCAATTCCACTCCCACATATCTATCCCCAGCACACAAAACCACTAGTGTGAAAAGATACTCATGCACCTATGTTCACTGCATGAGTGAACTATTTGTAACAGGCAAGATTTTGGAAACAGTTCAACAGGTGACTGGATAAAGATGTGGTTGATATAGACACAGTGAAACGGGATCTTTGGGGAAATTTCAGTTTATACTTTTTGTCTTGGGCTGGAACGATAGAACTGCCTTGCAAGCGGCCAACATGGCCTACCCGAGTTTGATTCCTCCGCCCCTCTCAGAGAGCCCGGTAAGCTACCGAGAGTATCTCACCCACATGGCAAAGCCTGGCAAGCTACCCGTGACATATTCGATATGCCAAACAGTAACAATTGTCACAATGGAGATGTTACTGGGCCCGCTTGAGCAAATTGATGAACAATGGGAGGACAGTGACAGTGACAGTGACTTTTTGTCTTAATTTTCCCCCTAAATTTGGGGTCAGAGAGATAGTACAGTGGGAAGGCACTTGCCTTCCATGCAACTGACCTGGGTTCAATCACTGGCATGCCATAGTGCCTTGAGGGAGTGAACCTTGAGCACAGAACCAGGAGTAAGTCCTGAGCATCACTGGCCATGGCACAAAAACCAACATTTCCCCTAAACTATAAGGAATGTGTCCTATTCTATACCAATAAAACACAGGCTTTTAAAATTTAACAACTATCATTTGGAAGAGAATGAGATGTAGGTGTCCAGGAGCAACTTTTCCCCCCTCCTTCCTAAATTTTTGGATTTCCAAAATACTAAGGAATCATGTTTATTATTTTTTTTCAGCCATACCCATGGGGCTGGAGCCATAGCGCAGGGGGTAGGGCGTTTGCCTTGCATGCGGCCCACTCAGAGAGCCCAGCAAGCTACCGAGAGTATCCCGACCTCACACAGAGCCTGGCAAGCTCCCTGTGGCGTATAAGATATGCAAAAAATAGTAACAAGTCTCACAATTGTTACTGGTGCCGCTCAAGCAAATCGAACAACAGGACAGTGCTACCCTGCTACCCATGATATCCAGGGTTTGCTCCCAGCTCAGTGGTAAGGGATCAGTCCCGGCAGGGCTTGGGAGATCATATGCAGTCCTCGGGATTAAACCTCGGCAACCACATGCAACGCAACGCCCTGCCCGCTGAGCTTTCGCTCCAGCCCTGGAATCATGTCTTCTATATACTGCAAAAACTTCCTCTTTAAACAAAATGCAGAAACCATTTAGCTGCAATCTCCCACAGAGTCACAAAAGCTAACTGCTCTCTGAGACAAACGGACACGGACACTCCTCCTCCGCCCCCGCCCCCGCACAGCCCCCAAACACACAAGCACTCCCAGTCTCATCCCTGGGCCAGTCTCTGCGGAGTGAAAGAGGAAGGAGGGAAGCGGCAGTGGTGGTGTGGCGTCCAGCGCGCAGAGCAGGGCGCACAGCGGCCGGCGGAGCCTCTTGCTTCTGGAACAGCTGGAGTTCATAGAGGTTCAATTCCCTTTGGCAGTGGGATAAGGTTTAAAAACAGCTAAACGGGTGGCCCCAAGCATCACACAAAAACAGCTGTGTGATGGCGCATGCTGACTCATGGCCCAGAGCCAGGTGCTAGCTGGGAACAGCTCTCAGGGAAGGTTCCAGAAGTCACAACCCCAGCCAATTGGACACTTGCCCCGGACATCACTGCTGCAGTGCAGCTGAGGCTGCTGCCGCTCCTGTGGGGGTACTCCCCCACTCAGAACCTGGGGTGTGGAGTCCGCCTTCCTGGCCTCCCGTCAGGCATCTATTTCGTTTCCCCTGTGGGGTCTTGAGCGATTGGTCGCTCCCCGCCAAGGTTTCTCGCTGTTATCCAGGCACCATCTGGACTTGAACTATCTTGACACCTGACTACAGGACTGAATGCTGGGCGTCACTACTGACTCTGAGCACATCAGGGGACCTGCAACCATCAGGAGTTCAGGGACCTGTTTGCCTATCCACACTGCCCAGGAGTTTCTGCCTCCGTTAGCACCTTCTCAGGGGCTGTCTTGGGGATTCAAAAGACTGACATCTTATGCTTGGAGCAGGAACATAACTAACGCTCAACAGATGGTAGGGGTGTAGAAGGGTCATTATGCCATTTGCCTCTGCACCAGGATTTACCATCTGATTTCAATGGAGGGAAATGCTTTGCAAATATAGTGTCTGGGTCTCTCTCTGTCTGTCTGAAAGGGAATCAAGAAAGGTCCCCAAGGCCAGACCAAAACTAGGGCCACACAGAGAAAAGTGACCTTTAGTCCATTCTGAAGGGCTGTGTGGTGGACAACCTTTTAAGTGTCTGACCATTTGCACCTCACACTCCTACGATTTAGACCTTTGCTTCTCCTATGATCAAGAATCTGCAGCATGTCTAATGCATCCCGAGCACTTTCACATGGAGCACTGTATCTTCTCTGCAACTGTGGGCTCACCCAGTGGGACCCGGAGGGTTTTATTGAAAATGATGATGGAACCGTGGGTTTGTTTTGCTCACCTTGTCCAGCTGTCTGTGCAACTCCAAGGACTTCCCTAACATCTCCTCTTTTCTCTTGTTCTCGTTGATGAAGTCATCACAGAGGTGCCTGAGCTCTGCACATCTGGGTCTGATGGAGTCCACGGCGTAATGGTGGCTTTGGATGAGCTGATCCCCCACTAGTGCAAGCAGTCGGGCCTTCTCCAGGGGCTCCTGCAAAAAGAACGTTCCCAGTCCAGTGTCAGAGGCCAGGTTCCAGAGAGGCCGAGAGTTGCTTGCATTGTCTGCTTCCGATCTGGAGGGCGGCTAGGGGGATTCAGATTCAGGCCCTCAGCTGGGAAGCTGGGGTCCTGGGGGGAGCTCTGTGGTGATTCAAGGCCCCCAGGAAGTCAAGTTTAGTCTAGGGACATTGGCACCCTGAAGAGTGACAAGTCATTTACTCAGATATTTGTCTAGGTCTGAGACACTGGGAATACCATGCAAACAAGACAGGTCTTCTCAGCCGAATGGAGCATACAGATACCACATGAATATTACACAGGAAGAAACAATTGCAACTGTGCTAAGCTCCTGGGTGGAGGAACCTGCACAAAATAGAAGATCCGGGATTTCCTTTTCAACTGAATGGACAGAAAAGGGACAGACAAGTAGCCTTTGTAGGGATTGGGAAGTGAGCTGTTAAAGGTAATGTGTAATGTGGCAACTCTGTGTATGTGTGGGGGGGGGTGGGAGAGGGCAGGAGATCACAAGATATAAGAAACATGTTTCTCAAAGCTATTTTTGGCAACCCACAAAGTCTTTGGCTGCTTTGACCTTGTTCATTGAGCAACTGCATGGCTTACCTCCCACGGGCTGCTTTGTTCTGTTCTCACCACATGTGGGGGGGGGGGGGAAGAGTCCACACATTTTTCTGTTTTTCATTTGTTCATTACACGCTGTTGAGGGCTTACCCTATGTCAAGCCCTGTCCTGGGTGCTAGGTGGTTGGTAGTAAACAAGGCAGGCAACGTCCTGCCTTCTTGCAACTGATATTCAACGGGAGACAATGGCAAGACCCAAAGTGTAGGTTCCATAATAGATTAGATAGAAATGAGTGCTCTGGAGAAAAATCAAGCCAGGATGAGGGCAGGAAATGCTGTTGAAGATGTTAAAATTTGCTTGGATGGTGAGAGAAGGGCGCCTGCAAAGGAGTGTGCCAAGCTGAGTGGAAAAATGAACAGAGCAGGACTGAGAAAGCTAGTCTGGGTGATGACCCGAACATTGTCTGAAGATGTACAGATGGCCAGCAGACCATCAAAGGATGTTCCTCGTCTCTCATTATGAGGAAAACATAAATCTAAACCATTGGATTTTACCTCACACTGGGAGAACAGCTTACAACAAAAAGATAAGGTACTGGAAGGGTTGGCAAGGGAACCCAAACACTCTACGTAGGAATGTGAACTGGTGCAACAACTACAGGAAATAGACAGTTTCCAAAAGTTAAGACTAGGTGAACTATATGATCTGGCTATTTAAGTTCTGGGCATTAATCCAAAGCAACTGAAAAAGCAATTAAAACAGACGTAGGTATTTTTGTGTTTAGTAGAACATACTTTCTAAGTGACAAACATTTGAAAGCAACCTAAATGTCCACTTACAGATGAATGGAAAAAGAAGATATGGGATGTCTTCAAAAAATGGAATACCACTCAACAAAAAAGCAGGAAATTTTACCATTTACAACAACATGGATGGATCTGGAGGGCATTAATGCTAAGTAAAACAAGTAATAAGAAGAACCAAATACCACATGATGAAGATAAAGAAACAACAAAAGAGCAAAACAAACTCTTGGACTCAAAAAGCAAAATTGTGGCTTTCAAAAGGGAAGGGGGATGTAGGGTAAGGCCAAGGGATGGAAACTGAACTTTTTTTTTTTTGGCCACACCCAGCAATGCTCGGGGAGCACTGAGGAATTACCCCTGGCAGTGCTCAGGGGCCCATATGGAATACCAGGGATCAAACCCAGGTTGTCCATGTGCAAGGCAAGTGCCCTACCCTCTGTGATATTTCTCTAGCCCCTTGGAAACTAAACTTTTGAAGGTGACCATAAGGTAAGCCTATAAAATGTTGTGTTATTATTCTGTACATCTGAAGCCTATATAATATTATAAAATTAAATGTCACTTCATCTATATTTTAAAAAGGTCTACTTACAAGGGTACCTCCTAGCTTCTCTGAATGGCAGGGGGTCCCCAATTCCCATATATGAGTGGCTCATTTTGCCTAAGCATGCAAGCAATATGTTTGATATTGAACATCTGTTTTTTTGTCGGGTGGGGTGCCTGAAAGTCTGGCAGATTCCAGGCAGAGGCTTCCAACATGACCAGTTCCCAACAAAACCCCCAGGCACTGAATCTCGAATGAGTTTCCTTGATAGAAAACATTTTAGAATTTCAAACAACCCATTTCCAGGCAGACGAGGGCTGGAAGAGGGAATGAAGTACTTCCCATGGGGGCTTCACTGGGAATGGACTCTTGGAAACTTGTTCCTGGTTTCCTCCAGACTGCCCCATGGACAATTCCTCCTTTGTTGATTTTTCTTGGTACGCTTTCATAATCACAAGTGCTTAGGCGGATATACACAGACATGCAGAGTGCTCTGAGTTTGCCGAACCAATCTTTGAGTGAGCCAAGACCTCAATGAGGGACAAGCCAGGCAATACTTGATCAAGAGTTGAACTTGTTTGACATGTTTGGACAGCAGCAGATCAGGACTGAGGCCTGAGCAGAATCATCAGCAGGAAAGGGGCAGGAGATAAGATCAGAGAGGAAGGAAGGGAGACGGAGCTGGCATGGCCTGGCTATCCTTGTGAGCACTTGCGCTCTTCCTCCTGCTACTCTCCTTGGAAGCTCTGGAAAGGTTGAGGAGAGAATCTCATTCATATTGGGGGAAAAACACTTCTTTTTGGGGAGGCAGTGCTGGGAATTGAATCCCGGGCATTGGATAGAGGAGGTAACTATTCTCAGCTGAGCCACTTCCTTGGCCCCATCTCTTCCATACTTTGAAAACAATTGCTCTAGTGGCGAGTTGAAGTGTTAAGAAAGTCCTGGAAGAGGCAAAGTAGGGAGGTTAGCTGTGGATTCGCCGCAGTTGATGCGCCTTAAGGAAAGTGGGCAACCAAACTAGTTTCTGCCTTGCAGCCCTACTGGATCTACAAAGGCCTCTTGCCACATCCTCTCTGTACTTTGTTTTCATTTTCAGCACTTACCTCTGCGAGTAGCCTTGTTTCCCACCTGCTTCCCCCTTCTTCATCTGTTCCCACCAGTATTCTAAGCTCCCTAGGACACTTAGGAGGCACTGTGTAAATATTTGATGAATAGAATGAATGAATGAATAATGAATGAATAAAAACAGTGGGCTGGAGGGCTCAGCAAGCCTCTGGGCTGCAGTGGTGTGAGTCATCACAGACCTGGGAGTGGGCAGAAGTGAAGCCTGTTGCCACCTTCCTGCCATCCCGTGAGCTGGCCCTCAGGATATCACAGAGATGCCAGAGCAGCATGTTTGCCCTGGTTTCACTTTTTATGACAACCCACAACTCTAGGTGATGCCAGCTGGCTCCGTTCTTAACAACGGACTGTGGTTCCAACACTGGACTCTGTTCCCATCGGCAGCCAGCATTCACCAGGTGAGTCACACCCTTCAGACACTTCTTTTGTTTTATTTTGTTGTTGTTGTTTTTTGAGTCACACCCAGCTGTGCTCAGGGCTTACTCCTGGCTCTGTGCTCAGGGATCACTCTTGGCGGTGCTCAGCCAAGGATCAAACTAGGATCAGCCACAGCAAGGCAAACAGCTTATCTACTATATTATCTCTCTAGCCCAAGGAAGCGTATACACACACACTGACACACACACACAAACACACACATATGCACACACACAGACACAAAGACATATACATAAGCACACAGACACACACATATATACACACACAGACACAGACACACACAGACAAGACACATAGACACATACACATACATACACACACACACTCATACGCACAGACATACATTCACACACACAGACATACATTCACACACACAGACATACATTCACACAGACACACACAGACACGCACACATACATACACAGACACACACTCATACACACAGACATACATTCACACACACACACAAACTTCAGACCAATGCCCAATTTTTTATGAGCACATGCCCTCTGAGTCCGAGGGACTTTATCACAAGACAGCCCCACGGGCCCTGGGGCATTCACAGCCTGCATTTTTCTTGGTGAGCACCAGCTTCCCCTTCAGAAGCGGTTCTGAAACATTTGAGGTGGGTTGGCTGTGGAAAGAACAAGGTGAGGTGTAGAGCCACATGGGCCTTGGGAACAGGCACCATAAATTCCACCTGGGAGCCAGCAAGAATGGCTCTTCAGACTGTCCTGAAACCAACGGATGATAGGAGATCTGACGATCAGCCTGACTACTCTGGAATTCCCAGAACACTTATCTACACCTCTGCTTCATCTCAGCTGCAAAGGACCCTGAGAGGTAGCCAGTCTCACAGACTGAACATGCCCAGAAAGATGAAGGCTTGGAAGGCTGGACTGAGGTCATGGAGTCAGTTGCTGGGACAAGACCTGAGTCCATTTGTTTGATTCCACAGTTATTGTCCGGTCACCTGCCAGCCCAGGTGGCCTTCCAGGCGCTGGGAATGGGGACTGCTCAAGTTTTACTTTTAAATCCTGCAGCCCCTGTGAAGGACTTCACTACTGAATCTGCAAGCCACAGCTTAATTTTCAGTCTCAGCACTTCTGCTCAAGATAAATGTCAATAAGACCTCTAAAGTGAGAAAGAAATGGCAGAAGCCTGGCGCTCTGATCACACGCCTGTCTCACATCTTTCAGATGCTGAAAATTCCAGAAGGCCGGATCATCAAGTTATAACATGTAATTCAGAACTCTTTATCATCATAAGCACAGTTCAGAAAACACCCCCGCCCCCGCCTCAGCCCTCTATCCCAAAGGACATGGCTGCAAAGACAAGTGAAAGGTAAGTGAAGATGTCTGCAGTGGGAGAAAATGGTGAGAAAGAATTATGCTGCTATATTGGGAAACCCCTAAAGAACCCCAGATAACAACCCAGGAGTGGGAAGTGGGTCAGATAAACCAAGAAAGGCAGACAATCAGCAACAGCAAATAAGCCTTTGTGACTTCTGCATGCATTTGAAATTTTCCATTAAATAAAAAGTGCTCCTGGGGTTAAGTGATAGTACCGTGGGTAGGGCGTTTGTCTTGCATGTGACTGACCCTGGTTTGATCCCTGGCATAGTTATATAGTTCCCGAAGCACTGCCAGAAATAATTCCTGTGCAGAACCAGGATTAACCCCTAAGCATTTCCAGGTGTGACCCCAAAACGCCTAAATAAATAAATAAAAAGTGCTCCTTCAACTAGATTAAGTCCCTAGAAGGTTAATAATCTGGGTCCATGCCTTCTGGGAAGAGTAAGTATAAACCCTGGGCTTGTAGACGGAGCTCCAGGCTGAGGTGGGGTTGGTTCCTCCTGCCCTATACTGGTTTCTTCTGGACTGGCCCATCACCAAAGGCCCCATATGCCTCCCAGGCAAAACCCACAAGCAAATTCTGCTTTTAAAGAAGAATGGAGGTGTGGGTGTGGTTGAAAACATTGTTTCTCAGTATCAGAAATGAGCATTCAAAAGATTTCTCAACCCTGAAACCCAGAACAAGATAAAAGAACAGACTTACAAAGCACATGAGCAGAGTGTGGTTAGTGAGGCAGCTCTGAGGTTACCCAGGGGGAGAGTAAGAAAGTTGGCAACAACCCAAAAATACAGCATGTGGCTATAGAAAGAGGGAAGTTTAGCCAAGGTTGTTGAGAGAAGGATAAATCCCATGCAGGCTTTGAAGAATTTTGACAAACGACTTATTCCTATAAAAACTTTATTGAACCAATGGAAAGACTAACCAAAACTTCATAAGAACAAGCAATGACTCTTTGAAATCTGAACAAAGCCTTATTCTGATTATGCTAAATAGATTCCTCCGCCCCTCTCAGAGAGCCCGGTAAGCTACCGAGAGTATCTTGCCCGCACGGCAGAGCCTGGCAAGCTACCCGTGATGTATTTGATATGCCAAACACAGTAACAACAAAGTCTCCAATGGAGACGTTGCTAGGCCCGCTCGAACAATGGGAGGACAGTGACAGTGACAGTGACAGATCTATTTGGTTCTACAAAAGGCAGAGGAAGAGGTCTATGTATGTTTTTAAGAGTTTAGAAAGGCATCGGATGGGTAAAATCAACATTCTGGGACGTTGCGGCTCATCTGCAGTGGATGGTTCCAGTTGGTTCAGGAACCTTGCATGTGACAGATGAGTCATAGTTTCACAGCAGTCCTGGGGCATGTCTATAGAACTTGCTCAGTAGTCAGCAGTCCTTAGTCAGTAGACGCATCCTGTAGTCTTTAAGGCATGTGCCAAGGATTGTCAGGTGAAGGAGGATGGCAGCAGAGAGAAAATGGACAAAGTCATGTGGATCCATCCCCACTATTTAAAATATTTAAATATTTAATTTGAAAATTTAAAAATTTAATTTAATTTAAAAAATTAAAATATTTAAAATACCCCCTAGCCTCCCCATTTCAATGAGCATAAAATCCCGTCCTTTCTATGACCACATTCCCCCTTCCCACCTCACAATGTTCCTGCCACATTCCTTGAATTCACAAACCCATTTCCACCATTTCCACCTCAGGACCTTTGTACTTACAGCATCTCTACCTTGTTTGCTATCCCAAGTCTTTGCAGAGTCCTACAGATTATTGACTGAAGGCCTCTTCTCAAGGGAGGTTTCCTGACCATCCTAGTTGAAGTAGCCCCTTTGGACAGTGTCTACTATATCCTACTATTCTCTTCATATTATGTGTCTCTGTAGGATTCCTTTTTCCCAATCCATCTCTCCCCAGGAGAAAGTAAATAGATCAGGGAGAGCAGAAGTCCGGTTTTCCACCATATCTGAGGAACCTAAGTTAAGGGATGAATGAATTCCTAACTGAGTAGTACCTGTCTGTGTATATATACCCTCATGATCAAATAAGGGTACAAAAGAACTGACTATGAGAATATATTTTTTCATAATATATTAATGTATCTACATGAAAAATACATAATATCTCCATAAGTAACTAGGTATCTGGGAAAGGGGTGTGGTATGACACATATGGGAATTTTCATACAGAATCTGAGGGATATAGTCATCTGACCCACGGAATTCAGCGTTTTTGTTGTTTGATAAATAAATGTTTCTGCTGACTTGTGTTCCTTCAGCAGGAAAGTGGTTTACCTGTCAAAAGATCTTCCAAAGAGAAAAACCACTGGGGAGGGAAGGCAGGAGTTTCTGAGTGGGTGTGAGTGCACAAGGTGGTACTGAGGAGCTGCTGCATCATACATGTGTTCATACATGCGTTCTTATATGTTCATACACCTCCAGCTCTGAATCCACAATCTCGACCTCTGACAACTTGTCTTTGACAACAATCAAGTGCCTGCCAGTCACCTGGGATCCATCTAAAATGTGGCTTCCAAGTGAAGAAACCTGGCCAGCGGGCTCCACAATTCCTGGAGAATTCTCTGGGCCCCATACCGAGCTGATATCACCGGGAGGTCCCAGATGGGGTAGGTGCTGTCTCCCCACCTTCTCCAGATGGAATCCTGGTGACCGTGAGCTTCTACAAGCATGACTCCAGTATGCAGGCACCAGGACTATTCTTCCGAACCGCATGGGGACACCCATAGGGACACTGGGCCAGGCAGTTCCTCCCTGGCTCCCAGTCAGCCCCTGATCCCAGAAGTCACACCCTCAACCCGCCCCCAGTGACATCTTGCAGCACACAGCAGCAAACAAACCTGGCCGGTGGGCTCCACAACTCCCGGAGAATTCTCCAGGCCCCATACCAAGCCAATATCACTGGGAGGTCCCAGATGGGGTAGGTGCCGTCTCCCCGCCTTCTCCAGATGGAATTCTGGCAACCATGAGCTTCTACAAGCATGACTCTGGTATGCGAGCACCAGGACTATTCTTCTGAACCGCATGGGGACTTTTCCTGATGTGAAAGTGAGCAATGGAAAGTAAATGATCTAGTGTCTGTCCCTCGAAGGCAGGCTTGAATGGTGGTGGGAAAATTTGAGCACAATATAATGCCCAACCAAAATGCATCTGGACTGTGCATTTAACTATGGTACTATGCTGCCCTGGGAGGGGAAGGGTGTTTGTTCCTCCATTTGCCCCCGGCCCCCCTGTGGCAGCAGCATGGTGGCCTCCATCTTTTAGAGCCTAATGGACAGTCAGATATGAGACTGCATTGAAGAGGCGGTGCCTCGTGGGATGGGAGAGTGGATCCAGCCTGCTCCCCGCCCTGACAAGGCCCCAGGTTGCCACCCACAAACACCTCCTCCAGCTTCTGAACGACCATGATCTCAGAGGCACACAAACCAATCTCAGAACCCAGGGGCTTTTAGCAGTAATCCCTCTAGGTTTATTACTAAAATATCAGAAATCCAAAATTGCATGGCCACTATTTCGGCCACACGACATCATATACTCTTCATAATCAGCAATAGAAAAAAAATTATCTAATGATGTCTTTTTGGCAGGTCTGAATGTTGGAGAAAATTCCAAATAATAATGTTGGGTCTTTTGTCATAATGTTGAATGTGATCAATGGGGGGGGGGGGAGAGAGAGAGAGAGAGAGAGAGAGAGAGAGAGAGAGAGAGAGAGAAGTGGAAATCTGCCACATAGGTGGGGGGTGGGGTGGGAGAGGGGGTATGCTGGGGTTCTTGGCGGTGGAAAATGTGCACTGGTGAAGGGACGGGTGTTTGATCATCGTATGACCGACCGAGACTTAAACTGAAAGGCTTTGTGATTGTTCTCATGGTGATTCAATAAATAAAACTTTAATTAATTAATTAATTAAAATAAAATGCGGCTTCCCTTCCCAGGGACAGGGCTAAGCATCTATTGCCAATGTCGTCCACTCAGGCCCCCAGTGGGAGAAGCCAGCCACTCTCCGGTGCTGCAAGATTTCCCAGTTGGAAACATGCTTCTAGAGCAGCTGGTAAAGGAAGTGGCAGCCATGCAGGAGTGCGTCTCCAAGAGACAAAAATACAGAGAATCTAACTAAAGGTTAGGAGGAAGGAACTTCTCTGCAAAGAGATAACTCTCTATTCTTAGTAACTCAGATTTGTAAGGACTTGAACTAGAATCAGTCCCTCCTGCTGAACTGGGTGCAGTGCGGGGAGCCAGTTTCCAGAGGAAACTGTGGGAATACAGTTTTGGTATTTTGGTAAATGATGAGAAAACAACAAAGTGAAAAGTTTTCTAGCAATATTGCGGAACTGTGAGACAGGGGCTCCTTGAGGCATCTGAGAGTCATGAGTGTTAGGGTGCACGCAGAAGAAAAGGAGAAAGCAAGAGAACGAGGGTGGAACCGACTCTTCCCTGCCTGGCTGGTGAGTGCAGGCACTCGGGTTTCCCCTTCCAAAGTTCCATCCAGCTTGCAAAAATCCCCACACTTCCAGGCCAGCTCCAGGCTGGTGAGTGAGAGCCCTGCCCCCACTTCCACCCGTGCTTCCCAGGCTTGGCCAAGCTGCTGCTGCTGCTGCAGCTTGTTGATGCCCAAGATCACCATGGGAACCCTGGGTGCCAGTGGAGTGATGGAAAGGGCTGAAACCACGGCATTCCTGTGCCTTACAGCAGGTTGGCCAGCATGATCCATGTCACCGTCTGCAGCAATTTCCTTCCCAGTCTATTAAAAAATGAGAAAACAAAACGGAAAACAAAAGACAACCAACCAACCTGGCCTTTCCCCTCCAGGGTTCTGTGTTCTTTCAGAAGCTGTTGCACACGCATCACACTGTCCCCAATGTCTGTAAACTCGGCCTGTTCTGTTAACAAATTGTTCAGGACAAGCTTCACCTGTAAGACACGTTAGAACCATCCGGAAATCAGCCAAAGGAGCACCTAACTGGACGGAGAAGTTTTACTATTAGCTAACAAAACTAAAAAATCAAAAGAAGATGCACGATTTATATTTATCTATGCGTACACCTTTTTACACAAGCTGTTAAATAAAGCCAGAATGATGGGCTGGGGGAGGGTGGTACTGATACATAGAAATGAACTATTAAAGCCATATACAACCGAGTAGCAAAAGGAAATAGAAGCTGTCACACACACATATGACAGGAAAGTGGAATTCTAGAGAACACTGATGCTCCCTAAACATGTGAGCCTCTACAGGGCTATCCATGAGGAAACAGAGATAAACAGAAAGGGAGGGACAATGGGAAAGAAGGAAAGCAGCCAGAGCTCACTAAAATATATGTAATTTTTAAAGTTCTATTTAATAAGAAAATAACACCTCACAAAAATTGTGCTCAAAGTGCTGTAGTTGTAGGCATTGGTTTAGCTTCAGGTGATGCTCGAACCAAAACTGACTAAAGGCTTTGTCGGTCTCATCCAACTGTACTAACAACCTGTGGAGAAAGGAGAGAGTGACATCATGGTTGGCATTGGTCTGCACAAAAAACAGCATAGGTAGGTAACATCTGTTTCCAAAGCTATTAATTGTGATCATCTTATTTGAAAAGTCTGTCATCTATGACTTTTTCAGGATTCAGCTAGTTAGCACATTTCTGGTTTTCACATCCTCAATACTAACAGAAACTTCAGTTCCATACAGATACTTCTAAACATACTCCAGGAAACCTTGCTTTTGCTCTTTTGCTTTCTGCCTGAGTTGGTAGGTAACATCTCCCTGAGTCCAGATAATTTGTTCTTTATTTTCTTTTGAGAGTGGGGATTGGGTTTGGAGGCTCTGCGCTGGGCCATGCTCAAGGAACCACTGGGGACTGAACCAGGAATGACCACATGCAAAGCAAGAGCCTTAACACCTGTACTATTTCTTTGGTCCAAAAAGTTATTTGGAAATGAAGCTCAATAAATGTGCTTATCCTCCTTGAAATCAGAGTGACAGCATTCCGAAAGGGAAAGGAAGGACAGTCTCCTGAAAAGTTCTCTGTAAGTTGATGCCAGATGGTCTTTCTTTGTGGTCTCAAATGTCTTTTTAAATATTTTTCTCGCTTTCTCTCCCTCTTTATTCTTTTCTCTCTTGCCCTCTTTCTTTTTGAATCACAAGGAAGGGATTTCTGGCAGTGCTAGGAGGACCACAGATGGTGCCGAGATTCTAACCCGGTCAGCCACATGCAAGGCAGTTGTTTTAACCTCTATACTGTCTTTCTTATACTATATTATTTTTTCTTCACCTTACCAAGATACAAAAGCTATATTAACCTATCATTGGTTGTTTCAGATAATTTCAGTTGACATATTTGCTTCAGAAAAAGTAGGTTACACCCTCTTCCACTTACCTTTCCATGGTAGCTACATTCTCCAGTTCACTGGGGTTGAGTTTGCTGATGGGATTTTTGGTGGCTGGTTCTTGAATACATGACAGCAATGTGGCCCCTTGCTTTCCAAGTACCTTCAGTTCACCCTACAGAAATGAAAACACAGGATTTGAAGAGGAATGAATAAGGTAAAGTTTGGTTAGGAAGCTAAAGGTTATAGAAGTCAAGCTGCTTTTGAAATTTGGTAGTCTTACTAGGTAATGGATACCAGAAGATTCAAAATACACAAGTCTATATATTCAAAAGAGCCACCTTTGGTCCCACTCCAACCGCTCTTCCATTCTAAAATCAGTAAGTTATCTTCTGCATCTATCTCAAGATGTTGTAATAAATGAAAAGCAAAACTGATTAATAAAAAGTGATTTTTACCCTCCATATTCACCAGAAATAAGAAAATGTCAGATATTGAGTGTTCAATGCTGGTGAATTCACTGTCCTAATGCAGTTAGTTGGCCATGAAAAAACTTAATCTCAAAAAAATAACATAAAAAGCCTACATCTCATTCGTAATTACTGGCTTTCCTCCCATCACCCACCGAGTGTGTGGTCTTCTCAGTTATGGAAGTCTGAGAGAACATGGTATCGACTTCAGTTGACAGGGAAAGAATTATACTTTGAAGGCAAGTCTTTTCTGCTCTTCTAGAGGGTTATTAGGGTTTTGGGGGGAGAGGGGGAATACTAGGCTCTCTCCTTCCAATCCGGCAGCTCTGCCCTCCCCTCGTCCCATGCAGGCCATCCATCAGTGCCTGAGAGTTAGCTAACTATGAGGCAAGCCAGAGAGCAGAGAGAATTTTGCTCCTGGCAACTTGGTTCCCAGCCTCAGGGCACGGTTCTGGTGTGTCCTGTGCTTTAGAATAGCCAAACCTATCATCTCTGTGCACAGGAACATGAAAACTTTACCTCTAATATTCACACACCACTCTGTTCCTCACTGTTCACCTAGAAAACCCAGGACACGCTTTTATAAGACACTTTCCACTATTCACCTCTTCAAAGACTTTCATCGTCCACACCCAGACCCAAATTTATTCTCCAGTCTGGAAGGTGACAGATTTCACCTCTCTAAACCAGGTCCTCATAATTGCTTGGACCCTTGCTATGGCTCTTTCCACTCCGGGCTAAGTCCCAAGTTGGCCACTTGATTGGTATTTTTTCCTGGGAATTGGACCTATTCCTTTTATTCCATTCTCAGGAATCAGTCCTCACTTCTTTTTTCATTGATGATTGGCAAGCTACCAAGAGTATCTCGCCCGCATGGCAAAGCCTGGCAAGCTCCCCGTGACGTATTCGATATGCCAAACACAGTAACAAGTGTCACAATGAAGACGTTACTGGGCCCGCTCAAGCAAAATCGATGAACAATGGGAGGACAGTGACAGTGATCATTAAATATTTGTTGGTTGGATGAATTAAGAATAATGTAAAATAAATAAGATTTCAGATACATAAAAGCAAATAAGATATGATGGGGTAAGTATATATATATATATATATATATATATATATATATATATTGATAAAAGCTCTTAGCTATTCCCAATATAAAAGGTAAATATTGGCTTTACTCAGATTCTTACTGCCCCTAGGTATCCAATATTCCAGAAGATTATGGTGTTAATGTGAAGCGGAGTTGAAGGAAGAGGAGCCAAAAAAAAGATCTATTCCTAGGACAGAAGGAGTCGTGTGGAAGTAACAACTTGGAAGACAGAGACAGTGTGAGCAAAGTGTTTGAAAGAGGGAAGGAGTGGTTCAGTAAGTAGCATGTATACTATGTAATCCCTTTACACAGTTAGACACGAACAGGAAAAATTATGGCCTGGTTACTGTCAGGTAACGTGACTGAATAGTCAGTTCCAGTAGTTACCAAACTCAGCACAGCCACAGGGAAATGTTTGAGCATTATAATACTTGGAAAGTCGAAAGGACAAAATGCCAAATGGAGTTTTCCCTTGTCTACAATTACAATTAAATACCTGTACAGAACAGGCACTGATCAATCAGCAAAGATGTCATGCATAATGCAGGAACCTATCTCAAGCCAATTGTGGTCCAGGTGTTATCCTTTGGTTGCCAGAATCACAAGGAAGTCTCATAGGTCTTAGAAAAGGGGCTTGGAAATGAAATGGAGGAACTGGAAAAATGTAAAATTTGAACAACTGAAAAGCTTAGTGGAGGCCAGAACGATAGTACAGTACTTAAGGAGTTTGCCTTGCATGTGGCTGACCTCGGTTCAATCCATGCCAGGTCCCCCGAATTTGCCAGGAGTAATCCCTGAGCACAGGGTCGGGAGTAAGCCCTGAGCACAACTGGATGTGACTCAAAACCAGAAAGCAAAAAGAAAAGCTGAGTGTGAATTCATCATTATGGAAACAAATTAATTGGTTCCAGAGAAGGCTTCATTAACAGGACAAAGGGAACAGGATCAAAAGAATTTAATTTTCTGGTAAGAGCCATTTACTATGACAATGCTAAACATGAATGACTATTCATTCAAGATATATCTATCCATAGCTATTATTATGAATAGGCACTGTGATCAGCTGTGTCGTGGGCATGTGGTGAAGAAGACGCAAGAAGTGAAAAGATTAACCAGGGTCTAAACCATATATGGATGATAAATGGTTCTTGAAGACCTAACACACAATTCTATATTCCCATCAGCATGTTCTTCCCATTTTCATCCACACTTGCTCTTGTACTTCCTTCTGATTATTGCCATTCTAGTGGGTATAAACATTATGGTTTTGATTTGCATTTTCCTAATGATTAATGATATTACATGTGTCTTCATGTGTTCCATAGCCACTTATGAATGTTCTCTGGAAATGCATCTTCCAAATATATTCCCCATTTTTCTTTAAAATTTAAAAATTTTATTGTATTTTTATAAAGTTGTTCACAATAATCTGTTACAATTAATATTCCAACACCAATCCCACCACCATTACACCTACCCACCACCATATTTCGAATGTTTCCACCCCAAGCCCCAAGCCCTGCCTCCAAAGCAGGACCTAAATAATATATTTTGCATTGCCTGTTATCAGTAATTCACTAAAAATGATCCCAAAAAAGTTCCTTAGAGGAAAGTATGTGAAGATTGCTGCATTTCACCCTGAAGCCATTAAGCCCTTGTATAAGAATGAGATATCATGCAGACGCAAGTGCAGCCGAGGACGCCAGGAATTCTAAAAGTTTAAACATATTGTTATACAGCTGACGTTAATTTAATTTTTTTTAACTGGATGGTGATTTGAGGGTCCAGAGACCTCTCTATGGCATATTGCTCTGTATTGCTATCTTTGAGAATTTATTTCTAGGTCTCTGTATTATAGCTGTTAATGAGCTTTGTATGGCGTCAGAGGCAGTTCCTGTGCATGACTAACAGACTACCGGAAACACATGGGGGAGGTCGCCCATTCCCGACTCTGGGTGAGCCTGGAGATTTCAGTCACAAGACCTGCAGACCTGGGTTCTTCAGCAGATTCGCTCATGGGTTAGGTTCATCTGGGCCTGTGGAGATCAGCTGGGAAAATGGAGAGGATTGAGTTCTGGAGGTTTTTGGCTGCTGGGGCTGTGTTGAGGGCAGGGAGGGGAATTCACCTGCCCCCCACTTTGGTTGCCCTGGATGAGACAGTCTGGCACAGGGTCTGGAGGCATCTCTATGGCATATCATTTGTGCTCTCTTCTGAGAGCTTTCTTACTGAGTCTCTGGATCGTGGCCATTAATGGGATTATATGGTGCCAGAAGCAGTTCCTGAGCATGACTGCTAGGCTACCGGAAACAGTGAGAGGTGGGGGGTAGTTGCCCTTTCCCGACTCCCTGCGAGCCTGGAGATTTTAGTCACAAGTCCCGCATACCTGTAATTTCCCCATTTCTAAATTGATTGGCTTGTCTTTTTATGGTTGAGTTGTAGGCATTGTTTATGTATTCTGGATACTAGATACTCATTAGACATATGATTTGCAAATACTTTTTTCCCATTTTGCAGGCTATCTTTTCACTGCCTTGGTAGTGTATTCTGAAGCATATCTTCTTAATTATGATGATGTCCAATTTATTTATTTTCTCTTTGGGTGCTTGTGCCTTGGTGTCATGTGTAAGAAACCATTGCCTAAGTAGGAACATGAAGGCTCATATCTATGTTTTCTTTTATGATTTTTGTTTTAAACTTATACTTAGTTCTTTGATAATTTTGTGGGTTGTTTGAGGGTTTGGGAGGGGTAGAATGCATCCAGTGATGCTCAGGGGCTACTTTTGGCACTCACTCCTAGAGGTGCTCAGGGACCACGTGATGATGAGGGTTGAATCTAAGCCTCCTGCATGTAAAGCATGCATATTCTGAGTTATCTCTCTAGCCCTCTTTGATCAATGTTTTTGTTTGTTTTGTTCTGAGCTCAGGGATTGGTCTTGAAAGGCTCAGGAAAGCTGGGGATCAAACACTGGTCAATTGCATGCAAGGCAAGTTCCCTACCCGCTATACTATCTCTTCAGTCCCCCACCCACTTTGATCGATTCTAAGTTTTTCGTTTTTGTTTTGGGGCCACACCTGGCAGTACTCAGGGCTTACTTCTAGCATTGTACTCAGGAATCACTCCTGGTGGGGGTCGGGGCACCATTATGGGGTGCCGAGGATTTAACCTGGGTAGGCTGCTATATTACCTCTCTGGCCTCTGAGTTAAATTTTATATATGGTATGAGGCAATTATCCAGTTTTCTTTCCTTCCATGTAAATAGCCAGTTGCCCCATGGTCTAAGGTTATTAGGCCATATTAAGTCCTATAGGAAAAAACATCTTTAATCAATTTGGGTATTTTATTTTTGCTGCCAGCACTCAGGCTAGAGAAGCATTCCGGAAGCATCTGCAGCCAGTTCACAGGAATTTCAGGGAGTTTCCTCTCTTTGTGCAGTCTGGGTCTTGGTGTCAGTAGGGGGAGTACTGCCATGTTGCTTGTAAACCAAGTGATGACCTACAGCCTGTCCAAGTTCTCCTTCCTCAGGAAATGGAAGCTCTCCTTGGAGAAACACCCAATATCAAGAGGAGCTTGGGGACAATTACACACAGTGATCTCAAAGTAGCCTGAA